ACTTATTCTCATTTAATTTTATACGCCATTTTATAGTCCAGTCCACTATCTGGTTTATAGCACGTTGGAGTTTGAAAGTCGCTATAGTTGTATTTGCACCCGTAGTCAATATCGCTGTGTCATCAGCAAAAATAGCTACTTGCATTTCAGGATTTTTAGGAACATCAACGGTATACAATAGTACAGAGTAGGTCCCAAAATACTACCCTGAGGGACACCAGCTAAAATTTTTCGGTAGCTGGAGTAAGCATCTTCTTTGCTCACTTTGAAACTTGGACTTTGTAGATATGATTTCAGTAAGTCGCTCTATGATTTAGAGAGCATTCTCCTCAGTTTCAATTTCAAGCCCTCATGCCAGACTACGTCGAATGCCTGAGACACGTCGAGCAATACAGCGGAGCAAATCTTTTTTTCTTCTAATGCAGTTTCAATTTTGTCAATAATGCGGTGGATTTGATTGACGGTAGAGTGCTTATCTCGAAAACCTAATTGATGTTTAGGAATAAGTTGGTTTCCCTCTATTATTGGTTTTAACCTCTTGATTATGAGTTTTTCAAAAACTTGGCTATGATTGAAAAGAGTGATATAGGCCTATATGAAATAACCTCATTTAGTGATTTACCAGGTTTTGAGATAAATATTACCTCTGCAATCTTCCATTGTTTAGGGAAATATTTTAAGCGCATAGATGCATTAAACAAATGGGTAATTTTCATTGTATCTTTATGTGGCAGTTCTTTTAACATACGTACAGTGATAAAGTCGAAGCCAGGGGCTTTTCTTGGATTCAGATAGATTATATCTTTTTGTATCTCCTTTGGAGTGATAAATTTTATAGGAATGTCTTCTCCGTACTGCTCGTCCTCATCGTCAGGTCGAACTAGATTCGTAGAGGATATTTCATATGGACGAAATACGTTTTCTAAATGATCGGCATAGAGATTAGCTTTTTCTTGGTTGCTTCTGGCCGATGAGCCATCAGGTTTCTTGATTGGAGGAGCCAATTAATGATTGGTCTCTTTATGCTTTTTGCCGCTTTCCAGATTAAGTAGTTGCAATCCTTTGTAGCAGAAAGCCCTTGGAGATATCTGGCAATAATTTGTTTTTTAATTACATAGAGATATCGTTTTAGTTTTTTATTTATTTTATTATAGATCGATTTGTATTCAGGATCATGTGATTTCAGCCATTTTCTGCGCGCTTTCCTTTTTTCTCTTATCATCTCGTTTGCTTCAATAGAGTAATTTATTGTGAACATGACTTTTTTATAGGTCAGAGAATTTTCTTTGCTTGCTAATTGAAGCTGCTCAATAAACAGCTTTGCTTCATTTTCAAGTTGATTGCTACTTTTGGGTGGAACATTTAACTTAATATTTTCTGTTAAGAAGGTTGAATATCTACTCCAGTTTACCATTTTGAATAAAAGAGTGGTAGTTCGTTGCTGAATGGTAGTGGTTCGTTGCTTATAACTGTGTCACTAAGAGTTAAAATAATTGGAGTATGATCGCAACTGAGATCTAAACAAGTTTCAACTTTAATATAATTTATAGATAATCCTTTAGTGATGAAGAAATCGATCAGGTCGGGGAGCTTGTTGGTATTTGCTGGCCAATAACTTGGGCTACCGCTCGATAAGAATTCACAATTTAGGGATTTCCCGGCGAGGAAAAGTGCTTTTCCTTTTGTCGAAGAAAGTCTGCTACATCAGTAGGTATGTTTTGCATTAAAGTCTCCCCCGACAATGAAGGAGTTTCCAAGAGTTTGTAGGAATGCAACATATTCCTCTTGCTTGATATTGTATCTGGATGGGCCGTAAACTGGTGAAATTATGAATTTGCTTCTCTTGCACTGGACACCCTACTGAAAAATTTCTATTGAGATCACAATTGAATTCCCAATTGAATTCTCAATTAAATTCTCAATTGAATTCTCAGTTGAGGTTTCCGCAAAATTTCGCATGTAAGATCTCAATTGAGATATTTGTATCTGATGGAAATAATTCATTGAAAATATAATGAACTTTTGCTGAAATATGTTTGAAAAGCATTCACAATTTTGACCCAATTTCATTAAAATTTCATTATAATTTCATTAATATTTCGATAATATTTTATTAAGA